CGTTACTTGAAAAAAGTAATCAGATTACAGTAACGTGTTACAAGTAACGCGTTACTGCCCATCTCTGGTCATCAGGATAGGGATTTGTGTTGGTGTTTAGGGCTGTAGCCTCAGGTTTATATTGTGAACGGTAATAATGTGAACGTGTTTTTCAGATAATTTTAAATAGTAAAATTAAAGTAATGAGTAGTATAACAAACATCTTTATCCTGTTTGTAATGAAGTAATGTACTGCATTACTTTAAAGAAAAGCGTTCTTTGCAATATGTGCAATAATTACTTTTTTCGAGTAATGATCCCAAAACTGATCACAACAAAGAGGCTCTGACATGTACAAACATTTGAGCATACAGCATGTAATTAATTAGCATGATTTTAATGTCTTTGATTTGCTGCTTAGAGATGGTGGTGACTCTCACATTGGAGACAATGAGATTGATAAGTGAAACAAGAACTGGGATTACTAAATTGTTATCAATTCCCATCCCTAGTGACAATGATGTCCTAGTTGGTGGAGGAGGCCACCTCCTTGGACTGACAGAAACTGGTAACAACCACAACCCTTTTTGCTTTTCTCCAAAACACAGGAATAAATTTGGGGTTTGGGGCTAGGGTTGTGATTTTCAGTAATGATGACTTGGATATCAGTGAATTAAGATGCTACAGCTTTACTTTGACTTTATTTATCCCTTATTGTCCAACTCTTTCTTTTTCTTCTCATTCTTTATTATATTCTGCTCTTTTAGTTATCGTTTCCTCTCAAAGCATTGCGCAGACTCCTCCAGAACTCCTCCCTCTTCTCTTCCTCCTGTGGCCACTCTAGGTAGGTGGTGGAACTCATCAGTTTGCGCAGTTTGTAGAAGCGTTTGGGGACATCATCCTTGGACAATGGCTCTAGTAGGATCAAAATGGCTGCCTCACCAGTGGCTTGACCATCAAAAAGCCAGAAGTGAGAGAAGTCAAGCTCATAGCGGCACCAGTCAGACTGCACAAAATTCTCGGAGAGGATGAAGACAGTTCTCCGACTGCGTTCGATAGCATTCATGATGTTGTCCACAATCCATTGTCCAGGAAGGAAATCCCGCTTGTGAAGGCAGAGAGTCAAGGGCCGGTGGGATGTTGACCTAGTCCCAGAGCTGCTTTCACTGTTGAAGTGAAGAAAAAAGCAGCTTTCAGCCTTTCTACTTTCTAATTTGGTATACAGCGTATAAGCCAGAGACTGCACAATCAAAATAATTAATATACTTTAAGTTTTGCAATCATTTCATGAGTTTAAATCTGTATGATTTAAAAAATGGTTAATGCAAGAATTTTAAAAACTCTATTAAACTTGCTTTGATAACACATTGTTTTGGACTCAGATCTTGATCAAAGATCTTCCATGTCAAGTGTTCTACATCACCCCAAAATTTAGGTTATTAAAAAATGGAAGCTTTTTAAAGAGGTTGATATACCCAGTTTGGAAGTGTTTCAGTTTATTTAGGTTAAACTATGTTTGAAACCCAATTTTGTCTTCTTAACCGTCCTTAACAGTAGCCAAAAGCTCTAGTTACCTATATCATGCAGCATTTACACAGAGAGCAGTTTCATTGTCGGATGTCAGAACTACCCTTTTAAAAAATGCCAGATAGCTGTATTTGTTCAGAAAACCTACACTGAAACCTTTATTACTGATGAACACAGTAATGACAATATGGACACTTTGGCTGAAATTGTGTCAAATAATATCACAAAAACTGATGAACTTACCTTGGCTCCTCTAGCTCAGGTACCAAAAAATTTTCCACCCAGCCAGCATCTCTTTCACTGTAGGAAACAAAGGCATCAAAGGATATCAGGGCTTCTGTGTCTGCCTTATCTCTGCGTTGCTGCCGTTGTCGAGAATTACGCTTGGTCTTGAGCCATGCCCAGATCATCTTGAGGTACCAAAAGGCATGGATGCGCCACAGCACCACAGATAGCAGAGTGGCTACAAACAACGCCAAGCCACAGCTCACTGACACAAACAAAACCTGATGGCACATGACAACTGAGAGTCGGACTTGATCCACTGGCTGTCCATGTAGATAGAAAGGGTAGTCACAGATGTAGCTGTCCACTCCATCTGTCAGTTGTATACCTCCACCTCCTCGGAGTTCCAACTGGACAAAGCTGACAAAGTCACAGGAGCAGACAAACTTATTCTGACCAGCCTGGAGGTTATCGAGTCGCTGGTATGACTGGAGGTCTGTTTTGCCAAACATGTTCAGGGTATTTGACTGTGGAAATAAAATGTGTATCATAATGGAAACACTAAGAGGATCAGAAGCATAAACATATGATCTGACTTATTACCTGGATGGTCAGGGTTTGTAGATTGGGGAAGGATAGCCCAGAGGGCAACCTCAGAAACTTGTTGCCAGAGAGATACAGTTCCCTGAGTACAGGCAGAAGTAGAGTGAAATCTTTAAGGTTGTTGTTGCTCAAATCCAGCACCTGTAAAGAATAAAGCATAAGGGAAAAAAAATAGGTTGCCAGGTCAATCTGCCAGGTCAATACATGGTCTTCATACCTCCAGGGTTTGGGGTAGACAGGGGGTAATGGCTGTGAACTTTGCCCCGGAGATGTTTAGGAATCGCAGGGTGGAAGGCCAAGGACAGCTTGAGGGCATGAAGCTGTAACCGGTCCTACTAATATCCAGGTGTGTCAGTTTAGAGAACTTTGTGACCAGTCGGCTCACGGTGGACAAAGACTGGACAGAAATGGGGAATGAAAGATGGAAAGTACTTGTCGTCCTCAGAATTCTTGAATACTTGTAGGTAACGCAGATTTTAGTAAAGTTTCATACTTCACCTTCAGAGCATTTCCACTGAAGTTTAAAACTCGAATGTCCTTCAAAGTTTGTGTTGTACCACAAAGCGTCTCCACCAGAGTCAGGTCCGTCAGAAGGTTGTCGGACAGGTCCAGATACTGCAGGTTCTTCAGCAGATGGGATGTAAGACAAGGCATCACAAACACCTAAAGGAAAGAACCAAAACTCGTCAATATGACTGCAAAGTGGGAAGCTGTAAGGTAAGGGGAGACACTAGTTCCATTAGTGTCTCCCCTAGTATTTTCCTCCAGTTTGCATTACAACTCCAACATCCGTCCACAAGACAGACATGTTAGGTAAACCGTTGATTCTTATTTGGCCACAGGTCTGATTGTGAAAACGAATAGTTATCTGTCTCTCTTTTTTAGTCTTGCAACATACTAGATACCTGTCCGAGGTGTACCCTGCTACCCTATAAGGTGGGATAGTCTCTGGGCCCCTGCATGACCCTGGATTAGCCAAATTAAAGAAAAATGGTGGACAGATGTAAATATTGCATGCACAGGAAAATGGGTCATCTTTGGCAATCATTTCCATTTCCATGTACAATGCAGAAAACAGTCTATGAACAAAGTATATTGTTGCAACTATCAGGTAAAAAAGTTTCATGTAGAAACTTGAAAGAACATCCAACTACCCTGCAGGCCATTATAAACATGTTTGCAAGTATCCTTAGTTTGATTTTATGTCTCCTGAAGAGGTTAACTCTGTAAGGAAAACTTAAAATGAAAGGGATGTGTTGATACAATCTATAATATCAGTAAATAGTTCAACAAATCTCTGGCTTTGATTTCAACTACACTAGGGTCAGAGAAAATAAAAACAAGAGTTTTTAGATGAAATGGCCATCTTCATCTATGGTATGTATAAACAGTATATACAAGTAAAACTTGTAAGCTAAAACCTTTCTCTTGAATACATGCTGATCTGAAAATTATCCACATCTTCACACAAACTCCACAAAAGCCAAACTCACAGATGACCTAAAGATAAGTAACAAAATAAACAGACCATCTAGGTGTCTGTTTATGTTCCGCTAGACAGATTTGTTTTAATTTAATCTGACTAGTTTTGGTTTTTTTTGTCAGCTTAAAAAAATCCATCTTCAACTGAAAACAGTGAACTCAAGGCTTTCAAAATCATAGTTGATCACTGTATGGATATCCTGAAAAAATTTCTCTAGAGAGTACACAAGCAGCATACATTACAGGGTTGGTCACTTTAGAGACTGGCACAGTATACTACAGTGGGATGCAAAAGTTTGGGCAACGTTGTCAATAGTCATTATTTTCCTGTATAAATTGTTGGTTTTTACAATTAAAAATGTCAGACATCCCGTCTAGACATCCCAAAATGTGATGTCCACATTTGTGGATGCCAGGTCCTAGGAGGTTAAATATATTGTATAGAAGACACACACAGTGATATTTGAGAAGTGAAATGAAGTTGATTGCATCCACAGAAAGTGTGCAATAATTGTTTAAACAAAATCAGGCAGGTGCATAAATTTGGGCACTCTTGTTATTTTATTGATTCCAAAACCTTTAGAACTTATTATTGGTAAGCTCAGTGACCCCTGACCTACATACACAGGTGAATCCAATAATGAGAAAGAGTATTCAAGAGGGTCAATCGTCAATGTTCCCTCTAATTTTTCATGTGTCTGAGCGAACACACAAACCTCCTGAGCAGTTCCTTGGACCACTATGAGCGACATCAGACGTGTGCACTGTGGTTACACCAGCATTGAATCCATCCAAGTTACATGGTTTATTAAAATAATCAAATTACAGCATTTAGATTTATGTTCGACTACTTTTAATTAACTGCTTTAGCCCACTTACAATGAAAATGTAAAACAAAATGTAGTCATTGACCTGTGTAGTATGTTAACACTACTGGAAGTAAAAAAAATAACTTGAACTCGAATTTTGAAAACACAACTTTCTTCTTCTCCTTTTTTTTTCTATAAAGCTCTGACTTGTATTATGAGTATGAGTCTGTGGTCTGGGAGAGAGTCCTGTAACTCTGTCTGCAAAATACAGTATTTAAAGACCAATGTTGGACAATTAATTATATAGTTACTTCTTCAAAAAAGTAAAAAAAATAATAATTTCTGTCCACTATGTGATAAAGGAGAACAACAGCCTGATACCTTCAGTCCTGACAACAGCAGATGTATCACTCCTGTAACACCTGTAACATTCAGCAGTCGCCTCATTGTTCTGACACACACAACAAAACTATTGACTACACTGCACACTGACTACACAAGATTTGCGCTAAACGTCGCAAATCTCTCACATCTCAAAACACCACCCTCACTCCTAAAACTTCCCCCGTTTCTTAACAACTTGCCATATCATTTTTTGATTGGTTGACATCTCCAATGGTTGTACACGTTGTCATTAACGTGGCTTCACTCCACATCAGCCACAGCTTTGCTAGCTAAAACACCGGTGTGGGCACATTAGGACGCTGTCATAGCCTGTCAATGACGTTGATTAGCTGCGTATATA